CCGGGCATGGCGGGTCGCGGTAGCGGTGGTGGCGGCGGGGACCCCCACCGGCTGCGGCCGCCGGGGCGCGGCGCGGCCCGGCGAGACTTGACGGCAGCCCACATCGAGTCCTTCAACTACGCCGTTAGCGAGGGGGTCTACCGCGCCGTGCAGGTCTGGGGGCCGCGGGGGAAACGGGAGGGTGTTTGGGGGTGTTTTCGGGTTCGTTCCCTCCCGCCGGGCCTCACTCGGTGCCGTTGCAGGACCTGTCGCCGGTGGAGCTGAAGCTGAAGGAGAGCCGGGTGTCGCTGGCGGTGGTGGGGGTGTCCATTTCCCCCCCCGCCGTGCCGGCCGGGACGGTGTGTCAGGAGCGGAGGGTTTTCCCCGCCGAGTGCCGCGGCCTGCGCAGCACCTACCGCGGCAGGATCGCCGTAAGTATCCCTCCGCCTGCTCCCCCTTCCCACACCCACACCTCCCCCTTTTGCAGGCTCATCGTCGCCGTGGGGTGCCAAGCCAGCCTCACCCGTTTCGGTGTCCTCTACTCTAACCCCCTCCCTGTCCCCGCTTCAACCAGCCTCGGGGGGTGGTGGGGTGTCTCTCAGGACCTCGTCCCACCTGGAGTCTCGGCTGTGGGTGAGGTGGGAGCTCCCCGAAACCTTCCCTCAGAGGCATCCACCCCCCTCCCGGGGTCTCCACTGCCCTCTGTGCCACCGGGGCCGAGCTCTGTGTGTGGGGGGAGGTCTTTGCTGGGCTGTCAAGTTGGCCTTGCCGTCAGCCAGCTGCTTCTGAGGGAGACCGGTGTCATAGAAGCTTCTAGGATGGAAGGGACCTTTAAGATCATCTAGTCCAACCATCAACCTAACTCTGATTTAAAAAAAAACAACCCAAAAGAACAAAGCCAACAACCCATCACTAAACCATGTCCCCCAGCACCATGTCAACCCGTCTTTTGAACACCTCCAGGGATGGTGCCTCAACCCCTTCCCTGGGCAGCCCATTCCAATGTCTGAGAACCCTTTCTGTGGAAAAATTTTTCCTAATATCCAACCTGAGCCTCCCCTGGTGAGGGAGGCCATTTCCTCTTGTCCCATCGCCTGTGACTTGGGAGAAGAACTGACCCCCACCTCCCTACACCCTCCTTTCAGGGAGTTGTAGAGAGCAATAAGGTCTCCCCTCAGCCTCCTCTTCTCCAGGCTGAATAACCCCAGCTCCCTCAGCCTCTCCTCACAAGACTTGTTCTCCAGACCCCTCACCAGCTCCGTTGCCCTTCTCTGGACCTGCTCCAGCACCTCAATGTCTTTTTTGTGGTAGGGGGCCCAAAACTGGACACAGCCCTCGAGGTGGGGCCTCACCAGTGCCCAGTACAGGGGGACAGTCACTTCTTGAGTCCTACTCCCCGCACTGTTCCTGACCCAGGCCAGGATGCTGTTGGCCTTCTTGGCCACCTTGGGCACACTGCTGGCTCCTGTTCAGCCCACAGGCCACCAACACCCCCAGGTCCTTTTCTGCCAGGCAGCTCCAGCCACTCTGCCCCCAGCCTGGAGCGCTGCAGGGGGTTGGTGTGACCCATCCTGGAGAACGTGACAATCCAAACCTTCTTTCTGCAGGAATCCAGGTTTCAAGAGCCATGTTTCTCCCATGTACAAGTCCAGAGTTATAAATCCCTCTTGTTCACTTAATATGTTCATCGTTTTTCAGAGTTGCTCTGAAATTTGCCCAGAGAAGCACCCTCAGCACATATTTTCCTTTGCACTGTGAAAGGATTGCACAGCCGTTGATGTTTTCCATTAAAATTGTGTCATTGTGCCTGAGCTGTGCGTTTGCGTGAGGCACCTGGTGCAAAGGATTGCTTGCTGGCAATTTTATTTTTATTTTATTTGTCCAAAGCACTACAATTTACAGTGATAGGAGCGACTGTATGTGCAATATCTTATCTGAACGCGACAGTGGCACAGTTGCGGATTGTGCACAGCCGTTTTCCCAGGGGCTCTTAGATTTTCCTGAGCTAGAGATGCTTTTATTTTTCATACCTGAATTATTTCCCATCTTTTTTTTTTTTTTTCCCCACGTTTGTGTGTTTAATTATATATTTATTTTTGGTTTTTGTCCTCTATAATCTTTCTCCAAAACAGCTCATGCAGCACCACAAGGAGGAAGAGGTAATGGGGATTTTGTGAGTCAGGAAAATCTGCATTTTACACGAGCAGTCTCCCAGGCCAACTTCTCTTTACAGAACTTGAGCATTTATATTTTATTTCAGGTTTGACATGCTATTTATATTAAGATGATGAGGGGCCTGGAGCATTTCCCTTACGAGGAGAGGCTGAGGGACTTGGGGCTTTTTAGTCTGGAGAAGAGAAGGCTGAGGGGGGATCTGATCAATGCTTATAAATACTTAAAGGGAGGGTGTCAGGAGGATGGGGCAGGTCTTTTTTCAGTGGTGCCCAGGGACAGGACAAGAGGAAATGGGCACCAACTTGAACAGAAGAAGTTCCACCTAAAGATGAGGAGGAACTTCTTTCCTGGGAGGGTGGCAGAGCCCTGGCAGAGGCTGCCCAGGGAGGTGGTGGAGTCTCCTTCTCTGGAGACATTCATACCCGCTCCTGGACACGTTTCTGTGCAACCTGCTCTGGGTGGCCCTGCTTTGGCAGGAGGGTTGGACTAGATGATCTCCAGAGGTCCTTTCCAACCCCATATGATTCCTTGAGTAATTCCCAAGACTCAATTTACTCTTAAATGTTGCCAGGTGTTGAACCGATGGTTTTGTATTGCAGTACCAGTGTTTTTCTCCTGCACAGCAGCAGCTCTTTTAAAACCCCTCATTCTGCATATAAAGTTAGGGTTTGTTTGCTTCCACAGTGCGTTTGATCACCTTGTTTCTTATGCTGAAGGGGTCCTTCTGTAGACCCACTGCCAGATCTTGTTGTAAATAGATTATTTTCCTTCACACCTGCTTTTCTTTCTCGCTTTTGAGATCACTGGTGACCATGTATGAGACTTAGGAGTGGTCTCTGCAGGCTTGTAGTGTGGGAGTCCTTTCATTGAGCAGTTTCTGTTTTCTTCTACATTTTCTCTTAACTCCTGAGGATTCCTTTCATATCCTGTGGCTGTCTCTTTTATTGAGGCTGCTCTGTTGAAGGTCCTGAAAGGGAAAGTAGGTTGTGTCAACTTTTTTCACTCTACTAGCAGCTTCTTGACCTGGTTCTGGACTTGTATGATTTTATTCTGTAAACCCACATTGACTGGTTTCCATGGGGTAATCTTTATGCACGTCCCTACTAGTTCTGCTCTTTATTGTCATTATGACAATTTTACAGTGATAGAACTTTGTTATAACAAACAGATTGTGGTTATGTTAAATGTACAGTTAATAAAGCAGGAAAGATTAAAAGGGCGGCTTAATTTGCTCACTGTTTGCGTTGTGTCGTTTTAGGCTGACATCAGCTGGTCAGTGAATGACGTGCCACAAGGGACTATTAAACAGCCCCTCGGGTATATTCCAATCATGGTGAAGTCCAAGTTGTGCAACCTCTATAATCTTTCTCCAAAAGAGCTCATGCAGCACCACAAGGAGGAAGAGGTAATGGGGATTTTGTGAGTCAGGAAAATCTGCATTTTACACGAGCAGTCTCCCAGGCCAACTTCTCTTTACAGAACTTGAGCATTTATATTTTATTTCAGGTTTGACATGCTATTTTTTCTGATTGTAACCTACTTACGGTGGTTCTATACAGCATCTTGAAAAATTTGCATTCAGAGCTGTCTTTTTGAAGACAGGGTTCTGTTTGGTGGAGATACTTAGGATTCCAGTATACACCTTCTCAGCTGCTATGTAGCAGCAGGCTATGTAGCTGTGAGTGGGCCTCTGTGGAGTCAAAGATTTGGAGAACAGGCATTGAAAGGGACAGTCTAATTCTCAGTTGTCTCTGCAGCTTTTTCCTTGTTTCCCCGGCAGCGTGTTGGCTGTGGGGGACTGAATACAGAATTATTTAGTGCCGTATTTTGCACGCACAAAAAGAGTGAGCAAGCTATGAAAGAAAATCTACAGTGGTGTACTGTTGCTGCCCCCCTCTAGTATGTTGCTTGTACATTTATTCTTAGTATTACTGCTGAAACAATTTATGTTTAATGGCATACTGTTGGGGCAGCTATAAATTTCTCAGTTTTAAACTTGTATGTGATCAGAAAGAGATTTTCTACACTGAGATCCCTCTGGTTTATAAACTCAAAATGAGAACTTAAGAGTATTTATTAAAAAAAAAATAATTGTCAGCTCTTCAGAGCCGTTCAGTGGATCACACAGAGGTTTCTTTTTTGGTTAGTTTGTTGCTTTTTTTCTTTCTTCCTTTAAATTGTGGAATGTGCATCCCTTTCCTTGCACTGTATGCTACATTTAGATTTAATAGTCACTGACAAGGAGTGCAGGCTTGCCAAATGCAGTGCTGAAATAGACGTCTTGCTACGTGTTCTGTAGTTAAAACATTAAATTTCTTTTGTAACAGGCATATAATACAGGTGTGTTTGTCTTAAAATGCTGGATTATGAATTTCTAAGCACATTAAAATGATTTTTCTTCTTCTGCCAGGAAATGGGAGGCTACTTCATAATTAACGGCTTAGAAAAAGTTATTAGGATGCTGATAATGCCCAGGCGAAATTTCCCTCTTGCAATGACAAGACATAAATGGAAAAACAGAGGCCCTGGCTTCACAGAGTACGGTAAGCTGTAGTTTCCTGCAGCATCCTGCTAGAGGACGAACAGGAGTGAGCATCTATAGCTGACTTTCAGTAGTTTGTTTTAGTAGTTTGTGGCTCTAGTATAATCTTTATATTTTTTACTGCGCATAAAAATAAAGGGTCAACACCACCATAAGGGGACAAGGATGAGGCAGATGCTGGCCTTGTGGGAGCTGTCTGAGCCCCCCACGCTGAGAGAGGGGATTTTATTCCAGGCTTTGCAGTACATATAACTTTTTGTTATGTGGAAGGTGTAACTGAGACCCTACCATCAGTAGACATCAGTGTAAATTGCCGAACCTGTGTCATTGAGTTTGGGTTTTCTTACTTTTGGATGGCAGATTTAATATACGTGAAGCAGATTAACTAGAATTTTGGTTGTCCCGTGGCTTGGTCATGTATACGCAGTAAAACAAGTTGAAGTTTTGATGATATAAGTCACCATTTTAAACTCAGGTGTTACCAGCTGCTGGTTTGACTGGACCACATACAGTGGACACCCTGGTTTGACTGGACACACATACAGTGTGCTCGAGCACACACTGTAATTCCACATTAATTAATTTTGAGGCAGTGCCAGTTAAAATGGTCCCGTTTGTTTTATTTTTCTTTGTTCTGCAGTGGATAGGATGGGGCAGGACCAGGAAACACCCCTTCAGCGGTGCCACCTGAATCCAGAGATGCGAAAACTTGACCTAGAGTGCAATTAGGGAGAGTACCTGTGTGCTGCTGTATCTTACAACCTAAGGTTACAGGCAGTAGTTGAGGCCTGGGGCTGTCCTTTTCTCAAAAACTGAACGCGCCTTCCAAGCCTCTCAGCAAGTGCTGGCAACTGAGCCAACCACATTCTGGGCTGCGTCAAGAGAAGTGTGGCCAGCAGGGCCAGGGAGGTGATTCTGCTTCTCTGCTCTCGTGAGACCCCACCTGAAGCTCTGCATCCAGCTCTGGAGTCCTCCGCACAGGAAGGACTTAGACCTGTTGGAAACCAGTCCAGTGGAGGTTCCTGAAAATGAACAGAGGGCTGGAGCACCTCTGCTGTGAGGACAGGCTGAGAGAGGTGTTCTTCCTAAGATCTAATCTAAATCTCCCCTCTTCCAATTTAAAACCATTATCCCTTGTCCTGTCACTGCACTTCCTGACAAAGAGTCCCTCCTCAGCTCTCCTAGAGCTCCCTTCAGATATTGGTAGGCTGCAATGAGGTCTCCCTGGAGCCTTCTCTTCTCCAGGCTGAATAGATAGATACTAGAAAGAAATTCTTTGCTGTGAGGGTGGTGAGGCACTGGAAGAGGTTGCCCAGAGAAGCTGTGGCTGCCCCATCCCTGGAGGGGTTCAAGGCCAGGCTGGATGGGGCTTGGAGCAACCTGGTCTGGTGGGAGGTGTCCCTGCCCAGGGCAGGGGGGTTGGAACTGGATGATCTTTAAGGTTCCTTCCAATTCTGCCCATTGTGTGATTGCATGATTTGTCCACTAAGAACTGCTGTATTTAATTGGAGTGGGAGATTGATGCTAAAATTGGGGATCTGCCTCGTGTTCAAGCCATGAAGTACCGAAGTTTCTCTCGTGAATTGTCTCACACCTGCTTGGACGTCTCACAGCAATGCAGCCAGTTGGTTTTATACACCTCACATTGGTCTTTGCTTGTGTGCAACCTTGCAGGAGTAGTGATGCACTGTGTTAAGGAAGAGCACGCTGCAATAAATATGAACCTTCACTACTTGGAAAATGGGTGTGTCATGGTGAATTTCATTTTTCAGAAAGAGTTATTCTTCCTTCCCTTGGGATTTGCTCTGAAGGTAAGCAGCTAATGCTCATGCTCTCTGTGTTGAATAAACACAGAAATTTTGCTAGGCATTTTTATTTAGGTAATGAGAATAAGCTAATTATCGAGGGGTTTCAGTCATCCTTCCTATGCTGGCTGAAGAACCGAGCCTACGCCTGTAATGTAACACTTGGCTGCAGCAGAGGAAGCATGTGCAGGGTCAAGAGAGGAGAGGAGAGTTAGACAAGGGTTTCGTGGCTCTGGATGAATAGCTCTTGGAGGGTGTTAAGAGTTTGCCACCTATTGTGAAAGATCTCAGGAATCTTTTTAAAACAGAATGACAGCTGAGCGTTCAGTGAGTGAACAGCTTTAATCATTAAAGAAGGTTGTCCCATCTAAAAGCAAAGCAGTGAGCTGGATTTTTTTTTTTTTTTTTTTCAAGGAGAAAAATGTAGTGCTGTTTCTGATTGGAACTGGAAGCAGTGAAGGATCTATTTGAGCACATTTGATGGATGTAAACTGTTCTTTGGATAGCTGGCAAAAGTTTTACTTGAGCCAAGACTTTTTAAATGTGCAAAGGAATTGTACTGACTTTCTGGTAGCTCATGAGATCTCTGGATAAGCAGGCTGTGTTTTTTGAAGTTCAGATTCTTCTATAAGTAGGCACTTTTTATGGGTTTGCATTCCCCCTGCTCCGCATCCGTCAAGCTGGATTCTGTACTGGTTTCCTGGTGCCCATCCAGGTCCCACTGTGGCAGATTGCTGCTGCTGCAGCCCCACTGCTCTTCTGTTCTGGCTGTAATTCTGGTTTCTTCTTGCTGTGTAATCATCCCAGTGCTCTCCTCTGTTGGACAAGAGGTAGCATGTGCTCTGGCTGCTTCCAAATTATGTATATCTTGATTACCAAGCAGCAGAACTGAGCTTACATTGCCCTCTTCTATAAAGAAACTTGCCTCAGTGTCTTTTTCATGCAGCCTTCAATTTTCCTGAATTTTCTGAAGCTTACTTAAATGTGATGAACAAGGAGCTTACTTAAAGGTGAGGCACATTTGTCAGTAAACACAGAAGTCGTAGGTGGACAACATTTGCTTAACCCTGATGTAAAGAAACAACTAGGAAACTGTTATAACACCAAGAGCTAAGAACAGTTGGATTTAAGTGGGAGCTTTTAGCATATGAAGTGTTGAAACTACAGTGAATTCGTTCTAATAGCCTTCATCAAAAGGCTAAATTGTCTTTTGATTTGCACAAGAATGAGTAACAGCTTGAGACAGTGGTGAATTAAATTCATGTTTCTAAGTGAGCTCATTCTGTAAAGACCGTAGTAAATCATACCTAAACAAGAGAAGCCTGTCAATTTATAGGGTGCAAGTTTGATTTTTGACAAGGATCTGGCTTGTGAGTACTTGTGATCACCATCAGGGTGTGAATATCCCCTGCATTACCCTCTAAGCACCTCAACCCCACAGTATTTTTCAGTTTGCATGGTGAAAGGGTATTTCCAGAGGACTGAGACCTAAATCAGTGAGGTGCCCTAGTTCTTATGCTTTATTTTATGGGCAGGTATTGCTATGAGTTTGTTTTTCTGATCTGATACGCTTCTGTCTTTCAGGCATTAGTTAATTTCCCAGACTACCAGATTTTTGAAGAGTTGGTCAAAGGAAAGGAAGAGGACACCTTTTATGTCAACTGCGTTACCGAGATGATGAGAGCGGTCGTGGATGCGGGCTGTTTGACCCAGCAAAACGTCCTCGAATACCTGGGAAAGAGCTTCAGAATCAAACTGAACCTTCCTGAGTGGTACAGCAACGAGCAGGCTGCGGATTTCATTCTGAAGTATGTATGTGTGCATGTAGGAGCGTGCGCTGCAACGTAATTGCATGGAAATTTAGGCAGATGTAAGAGTACTCTGCCACATTGCATCACGCTTTGTTATGATTTTCACACGCATTTATAAAACAGCAGTGGCCAGTTTTTTGTTGGCACTCCAGGATATTAGGATAATCCCGTGTTTGCGGTGTTCAGAAATACGCATTTTCATGGATTGACACAAGTATCCCCAAAATGGTTTCAGGAAAGAGTATCGGCTGTTATTTAAGTTCTGATGTGTTTGATGTAAAACATAAATATTGAAGATAAAGGTTAAAGCAAGTTCTGTGATTGTTCAAGGCTCTGCTTGTTGAGCAGAAATACTGCAATTTGTGGCACTTCGTCAGTTTCACACAGTCATCGGCAGCTATGATGAGATACATGTTTATTCTTTTAAATGGTAGAAATTACATGCTTTAAAATCTTGCTTCTTCCATGGAATAAGTTGGAAAGGAACGGAAGAGCTGGCTTTGAGACTTTCACTGTGACAGACACTCAACTAAATAATTTATTTTTCTGGTAAAGTAGGTATTGCCCTTCAGGGTGTTTTAGCACATGAAAAGGATCACTTGGGATGCCCAGGTCCTTTACTACTTCTGAATAGGGGGTGGTCAGGTGGCTGGAAACATGAAGGCAGCCTGCAGGTGCCTCAAAGGGGCACTTACAAGTCCATAGACCAGCTGGAAGCACAGAATTTTGTGCTGAGAAACGTGAGTGGGTAATCTCAAGAAAGTTGAAATTACGCTGATTTTCTTATTTATAAATATTCTTGGTAGGTGGTCGGTTTGTTTGTTTTCCTCTGATAGGATTAGCTTCAGCTGAGGAGAGAGAAGAAGATGAATAGTGAAAACATTAATTGGGATGTACCTCGTATGTAAGAGTGCTGGAACTGTAGCTTACCTGGACAGAACCTGCCTTCAGAGTTTTGTCTTGCTTTGTGGTGGAGTTGCGAAGGCTTCAGGAGAGGGCAACGTGGAGCAGAAGTGAAAAGCTGGAAAAAATCCTCATCTCGAGTGTCTGGGAAAGCAGTCGATCCAGCTTTAGTGGGAATTAGGTGTGGCTCCCCTTTTTGCTTACGCCAGAGTGTTGTTCAGCCCACAGTTTTCCCCACGTGGGTTGGTAGCAGTGGGGATTGGGACTTTCTGTGGCAGGACAGTGATGGTGTTAACAGAAATGTTTTGTGATTCGCTGCTAGTTTCTAGTTCTTGATTTGGGGTGGAGTGTGTGTGTGTGGATGTGTGCCTGTATATGGTGTCATAGCTACTTTAACCCACAAACCTCATCTAGTCCTGTGTCAAGTGTCTGTTTATGTAAACTGTACTTACATGGGAGTGTGTAAAAATCAATCTTTCACAAGGTTCACCTTCATCTCATCAACCAGGTTTATCCTTAACAAGACTAGCCCCATACAAAGATAAGTTGATAATTTTTCATCTCGGTCCCTGGAGTTTTTTAATTATTACTTCTTAGAATTGTCATGGCAGATGGAAAAGTTTGTACCTTATTAGGCTTTTTAGCAAAAAAAAAAAAAATTTGGTTTGTGAAATTTAGGAGAAACTTGACGAACAGCTAATATGAAGAGATGGTGCTAGTTGTCCTCCTTCTTTCTCTTCCTCCAGCAAGTGTATCTGCATACACCTGACAAACAGAACAGAAAAGTTCTACCTGCTCTGTATGATGACCCAGAAGCTGTATGCTTTTGCCAAAGGGGAGTGCATGGAGGATAATCCAGACAGTCTGATGAATCAGGAAGTGCTTACCCCGGGACAACTTTTCCTTATGTTCTTAAAGGTAAGGTCTTAAGGGGTTTAAGCCTGTGAATGGAATGATCGTCCAGTCCAGACCCCACGGTGACCGTGGTGGGGACAGGAAAAGTGCAGGAGCCAGAGCGAAGAGCGGGGAGTCTGGATGTGCTACAAAGTGTAGTGTAGCTCCAGTAGGCACTGGAGTTAAGGAAGGCTTGGCTGTCTCAGTATAGGGTACTAAGTATGCTAAAAACAAGAACTCCTGTAGAAAACCTGGAATAGAGAGCTTCATGGGCTTCCAGAGCAAATGGAGGCACCCCATTCAAGGTGGGAGTCTGAGGAAGGAAAAATACAATCCTTCTGGTGTTTGAAGAGGGTTTTGAAACGTCATATTTCTGTTGTATCAGTTCATACAGGAGTGGTAAAGGTCTGCCTTCCTGTGGTGTTGCTGCTGATTCACATGGCAAATGTGCAAGAAAATAACTGCCTCCCCTCCATCTTCCAAAAGTGATGATTTGTGAAATTGTCATCGCTCTCCCATCTCTAAATTCCTTTATGGATCAGGAATTTGATGACACGCCTGACTTACAGAGTTATTAGTGGTGATGTAAAAATGCAGTTCTCTAATCTATTCCAATTCAGTGTGAATTCAGTTTATTTCTAGGGATTCCTTATTTTTAGGATGCCAGGAGGGAAGTATTCATGTTCAGAAGCTTGACTATCCCATGAAAATCATTGTGGAACAGTAGTTCCCATCCCCAAGTAAAGATACTTCCCTGAGTTATTAGATAACTTTTTTTTTAACCTTTTCCATTTTAGCCAAAATTTTCATTAGCGTTGTTTCATTGAAAGACTACTAAAACCTCTCTGTGTTTTAAGTGGTTTCAGTGAGTTTAAGAAATAACATAAAAAGTGAGTCCTGTGAAGCATTTCAGTGCTCTGTGGAACCAGGAACCAGAAGGGGTTGCTTTCCTGCCTGGCCCTGTCAGATCAGCAGGAGAGTGACTGAGTTCACAGAGAATTCCTAAATAGACCAGAGCATATAGTAAACACAGTGTGGGTGTAAACAGTGGATTTTTACTGAGAGTTCAAAGCATTATTGGGTGTCTTATGTCCTTTCTCCCATTTTTATGTAGTATCTAAGATCACAGCAGCGATAAAATTGCAATTAACATGAACATCTAGTCCACTGTCTCAGATTGTCTCGGCAACATTTAAATACCGTGTGTCCACAGCCTTCAAGTTTTGGTGTCTAAACAGGCTACATTATTGTGGTTTTACTTTGTATTTAGCAGACTAATCAGTGGAGTTAGTCTTGTGGTCGGCTTATAGGTACTATTTCTGCCTTGGGTTTTGTTTGTTCTTTATGAAATTCAGTTATTGTTTGCCAGACTCATCACCGGTCTGGATGGAAGTGGTCACTAAGCTTGTTGGATGGGTATTCTCCTTGCAGGTCAGTTGGCCTGATACCACCTGATAAAACGAAGTCCGTGTGGGAAATACAGCTGGAAAACTGTCAGTTCACTAAAACTTGTCCATCCTGCTGGTCTCGGAGGATTTCTGTAGCACTTGCAGCTGATGTGAAGTTCTAATTTGAGCCTTTCTCTTCCTGTTTTTAAACTTAAAACTCTCGCTTTTAAACCCTAGGAGAGGCTCGAAAGCTGGTTGCAGTCCGTTAAGTTCGTTTTGGAGAAAAGAGCAGAAAAGGCAGATATCAACATAAATGCAGACAGCTTGGTGAAGGCATTCAGCCTGGCAACAGACCTTACCAAGCCATTTGAATATCTTCTTGCAACTGGTAACCTGCGATCTAAAACCGGTAAATCTTCAGGCTTAAGAAGCCTTTTTTTTCACCCCCTAAAAAAAACTAATCAGTGGAGTTAGTCTTGTGGTCGGCTTATAGGTACTATTTCTGCCTTGGGTTTTGTTTGTTCTTTATGAAATTCAGTTATTGTTTGCCAGACTCATCACCGGTCTGGATGGAAGTGGTCACTAAGCTTGTTGGATGGGTATTCTCCTTGCAGGTCAGTTGGCCTGATACCACCTGATAAAATGAAGTCCGTGTGGGAAATACAGCTGGAAAACTGTCAGTTCACTAAAACTTGTCCATCCTGCTGGTCTCGGAGGATTTCTGTAGCACTTGCAGCTGATGTGAAGTTCTAATTTGAGCCTTTCTCTTCCTGTTTTTAAACTTAAAACTCTCGCTTTTAAACCCTAGGAGAGGCTCGAAAGCTGGTTGCAGTCCGTTAAGTTCGTTTTGGAGAAAAGAGCAGAAAAGGCAGATATCAACATAAATGCAGACAGCTTGGTGAAGGCATTCAGCCTGGCAACAGACCTTACCAAGCCATTTGAATATCTTCTTGCAACTGGTAACCTGCGATCTAAAACCGGTAAATCTTCAGGCTTAAGAAGCCTTTTTTTTCACCCCCTGCTGAACAGAATGAGAAACAACATAAAACCGAGCTCTTAACTGAAAGCAACTGCTTGTGTGCAGGCATTGTACACTGTAACTGAATTAATGAACGTGGTTTGAGGAAAAGGAATAGTTGAGGAAAAAGGCAAGATTTCTCATCAAGCATAAACTTTATGCATGTATAGAACTGGTCAGTTATTAAAACAAAGCCTCTACTCATATAAACAGTTGAAACTAAATTTAGAATTGTCCAAAACAGTAACCGTATTTAGGTTTGGTTTCCCAAAGCTTATTTCTTCAGAGAAGGGACGTTTGTTTATCAGGACTGCCCCGTTGGTCATGTGAGCTTAAATGGAGAGAAACTGCTTCGCTAACGTGTATTTCAAATTTACCTTGTGCTTCCCTGAAGTGTCTGGTGTGGTGATGTTGTAACGGAATGCCCACTAGAAAATGAAGTCAGATGAGAAGACCACAGAATTTCAGTAAAAAGTACCAGCTGAAAATCCCCAAGTCACTTCACTGGGAGTGACTTTCGCGTGTTTCTAAAAGGGGTTGGATTTTAAGCAGTAGCTTGGAATGTAGAGTCTCAGAGTTGTCTGTGCACAGGCAACAGCACATGCGCCTTGTGCTGCTGGGATCCTGTAGGGCTCGTCAGTGAAAAGTAAGAAACTGGATTGTAACATCATACTCGATTTGTTAAAGCTGGATGGTGTCCTGACATAAATCTTGATTATTTTGTTGTTGTTGTTGTTGTTCCCAAGGCCTGGGCATGTTACAGGACAGTGGTCTGTGCGTGGTGGGAGACAAGCTGAACTTCATCCGCTACCTTTCCCACTTCCGCTGCGTGCACAGAGGGGCAGCGTTTTCCCAGATGAGAACTACAACCGTCCGCAAGCTGCTGCCCGAGTCCTGGGGGTTCCTGTGCCCCGTGGACACCCCAGATGGAGAACCCTGTGGTCTGATGAACCACATGACTGCTGTGTGTGAAATAGTGACGGAGATGGTGCCCGTGAGAGACATTCCCCCTTTGCTGTGTTCCCTGGGTATGTTTTACTGGCTTGATTGTTTAAGGAAGTGCTCTTCCTTTTTTTACCTTTCTGTCCTGCAAACCTGTATCTGGGAAAGCTTCTCCAGATAACCATCACTGGACGCTGCTAACCTGAGAAGGTGAAATCAAGTTACACCTGTACTTGCTGTGCTTCTGCTCCGTGGTAAGCAGCAGGTTGTTTATACAGGGGCGTCAGCCTTTTGGAGGCAGTAAAGTTCAATGTAAAAGGCTCTTCGCCGTTTGCTGTAGAGTGAAGGTGTTCACTTAAGCACAGGGAATTGCACAGCACAAGCACTAAGAAATTGGACGAAGCAGTGACTTTCTAATGCTGCCAGTGACTTTAATTCAAGCGCAGGATTCAACAGGAATCCTTAGTTTGGTCAGAAAAATTGGGAGGGGAATGGCATTCTTAGTTGTGCATATCTTACATTTTCCATTAAGTGATCTACAGCTTTGCCCTGTAGAACTGAATTTTTTTGTTGTCTCGGAAAGCTTTTTGGTGTGGATTGAGGCTTCCTGCAGAAATAACTTGTGTGTTTTGTTTGCTTTTTCGGCTGTTCCTTCCACCACCCCCACCCCCCCCACCTTCTCACAGGTGTCACCCCCATTGATGCCACACCGAGCAAGCCTTACGCGGAGTGTTGCAGAGTCGTGCTGGATGGTTCTGTGGTGGGCTGGGTGGAGTGGGACCTGGCTCCTGAGATCGCAGAAACCCTCCGCCGTTTCAAGGTTGTCCTGTTTATAATGTTTCTTAGCTGAGCATCCTCAATATGCAGTGGTCAAAAGTGGGGGGGAAAAAAAAAAAAAGTTCCAAACATGTCTAAACCTCCATTTTATTTTTTTTTTTTTTTACATCTGACCCAATAAGTTATTTTTGGCTGTATATTCAAAACCTGCCTGGACACGTTCCTGTGCAACCTGCTCTAGGTGGACATGCTCTGGTAGGGGGGTTGGACTAGATGGTCTCCAGAGGTCTCTTCCAGCCCCATATCATTCTGTGCTTCTGTATGTGAGTGTTGGAGTGGGCTTTTCTGTTTTTCTTCTTTTATGTCCATATGTTCGGTCTGTTTATGAAGTCATCATTTTTAGAAGAACTTTTTTTTTTTCTTTCTTGAAAAGGGTAAGATAAGCATATTCTGTCTTTTTCTTAATGGAGATTTTTCTAGAAGTATTTTTTCAAAATCTTTTCTCCACCATTCTATATACACCCGTGGTGGGCATTTTCATTGTGTAGCCTGTTGGATGCAGCTTAACTAAATGGGTGTTGTGTTTCTAAATTGGTATTTCTTTGCACAAACAGATAACACAAGAGAAGAGATTCCCTGCACGGGCAGAAGTGGTCCTTATCCCAATGACTGGAAAACCCAGTCTGTATCCTGGGTTGTTCATTTTCACTACCCCTTGCCGGATGGTTCGCCCTGTCAAAAACCTATTCTATGGAAGGAATGAATGGATTGGTACTCTGGAACAGGTGGGCTTTCCATATTTCCTTTATAAAGCACTGACTATTACAGAGGTACCCAGCATCAAACCTGATGTTTTAGAAAATTATTTGTGAGAGCAGCTGAGGATGGGCCATAGGGAACTTGTGTTGAAGAGCTAGAAGAGGTGGCAAAAGGGTTTTCTCACCTCCTACTAATTGGTTTCTGGTAAATGGCTTGGATGGACTGTAGGGATCTTTTTGAGATGTTCAAATCTCTCTCGATTTTAACTTTGTGAAGCTTTTGAGGTGAGAAAGCTGTCTTGCCTGTACTGTCTCATCCTGTCTTACATCATGTTCTCCAAATTGCCCACGGGCAGCCAAGCAGTGGATTGCCAGGGAACTTGCCCATTTGGAACATATTAGAATGGGAGAAAGGAAGAAGGACATGTTGCTGCAGTTTTGTATTTCCAGGCTTGCTTTCCTTGCTGTGATTGTGATGGGTGGTTTAACAACCATCTGACGTTTCTCTTGCCTGCTACCTGGTCAAGGTGGAGACCCACCACCACAGCTAAAACTGAAATGGATAAAAAGACATCACCCGCAGCTTTGTTTTGCAAAGAAAGGAGCAAACGAATGTTGTCCAATTTGATGATTGCAGATCTTCATGAACGTGGCCTCGCTGGAGTCAGAGGTGGTGCCCGGAACGACCACTCACCAGGAGCTCTTCCCTCACAGCATTCTGAGCGTCGTGGCCAACCTCATCCCCTTCTCTGACCACAACCAAAGTCCACGAAACATGTACCAGTGCCAGATGGGTAAGTGCTGTAGTAGCTAATGCTGCAAGTCCCTGAGCAAGGGAGAGGGGGGAAAAAAATCTCACATGTCTATTCCAGTGTGTCTTCCTGGAAAAAAATCTCTCACATGTCTATTCCAGTGTGTCTTCCTGCATTCCCAAATAATGGCGTTGTTTCAGTATTGAAGCTGATTAACAACCATTTTTGTCATGGCAAAGTAGAATCATAGAATGGTTAGAGTTGGAAGGGACCTTAAAGATCATCTAGTTCCAACCCCCCTGCCCTGGGCAGGCACACCTCCCACCAGACCAGGTTGCTCCAAGCCCCATCCAGCCTGGCCTTGAACCCCTCCAGGGATGGGGCAGCCACAGCTTCTCTGGGCAACCTCTTCCAGTGTCTCACCACCCTCACAGCAAAGAATTTCTGTCTGGAGTAAAGAAATTCTGGGTAAATGCAGTCAAGTGTGGTAAATGAAGTCAAGTTTATCATCATCGTCCTGGCTTCCAGCGGCCAGTTGTTGCGCTCACGTTGCCTTCCTTAAGCCTTCAGCAACTTTTTTTGGTTGTGTTTTTCTTAATTTTGACCTCCTGTAGATGAAGTGAAGGGGGGGAGGGGGCTGCCCCAGCTGTTTGGTGGTGTCAGTGTCTTGACAACTGTGCTGCCAACAGCCCTCCCATCCCCACAACCAACGGAGGTTTAACCTACTTCTCACTGGTAGGTAGCTGCAGCAGATGCTCCACAGCAGTTGGGGTGAGGTTTCCTTGCCACCTGCTGTTGTCTTGGTGCTGCAGCTGTTGAGAGGACACTGGCTGTAGGCATCTGTCGAGAGAGAGTAATGCAGTGCTGTGGCAACAGTGTGGGATGTTCTGGCAACTGTTTGACAAAGATTTAAATGGATTTATTTGGTTGTCTGAAAAGTTTGGGTGGGGTATGTTGTGGGGTTCCAAAGATCTGAGGTGCAAGTGATGTGCAGAAAGCTTATTAAAAAAAAAAAAAAAAAAAAGGAAAGAGAAAGTGTGTGCGTAAGTACTTCAAGAGAGCAGGTCTCATTAGCTCGATAGAAGTGTTAGAGTATTACATTTTTGACAATATTATCAGAAAGATGTCCTTAAACTGCTACCACTTTTTCGTACTTTTCTGAAAGTACCGAGGTAACTATGTTTAAAACTTGTTTTCTTTACTAATATACTTAACGCTGCAGAAGCAAACACTTTTTGGCCTGGAAATATGTAAGGTGTGCCTCACTATGGGAAACTCTGGGGAGAGGAAAAAAAAAAACCCAACAACAAAAACCACAAAAAACCCCGACAAACAACAAAGTAAAAACAAAAAAAAAACCCACACCAACTTTATTGGAGATTTTGAAGCTGCAGAAAAGACACCAAATCGCAAATAGTCCTTATGAAATGCTACAAAAGGAACTGAGTGTTGTGATTCATAGAAACTTTTATAACTGGACTTAGGGCAGTTATTAAATTCTGAGGGTTTTAAGATTGATAACCCCTCTAAATTCCAAGTATTTCCAGCTTTCTTCTTAACGACGCATGGAGGATGAAACACAGATCAACTTTGAATTGATCCTGAATAAATCCAACCTGCTTTTGTTCTTTCTAGGAAAGCAAACCATGGGGTTTCCAGTTTATAACTACAAGGACCGCTCGGATAACAAGCTGTACCACCTTCACACTCCCCAGAGCCCTCTGGTGCGGCCCAGCATGTATGACTATTATGGGATGGACAGCTATCCCGTCGGCACCAATTCAATTGTGGCTGTCATCTCCTACAGTGGCTATGACATGGAAGATGCAATGGTAAGGAGAAATCCTGCTGTCCTCTAAAGGGATTTCAGGGTTGGGGTCTGGGAAGAAAGGTGGTACCTGGCTGAGAAGAGCCCATTTTCTGCTTCTGCCAGTCCACAGATTCTGTTAGGGCAGGTCATGCTAAAGGTACTGAGAGCTGAACTCCCTTGTGCAAGGCAGTGGGCTTCCAGCACTGAAAAACACTGGGATTACAAAAGGTTTGGGCTTTTTGGAACAGTGACTTGCTTGTGAGGCTTTGGCTAGGAAGGCAGTGTTAAAAAGGTAAGCATTGGATCAGAATGGAAACACTTTCTTTCTTTGAAGTTATTAGCAAGTCTTTAACAGGCCTTTTTTTCTTCTTTCTAGATCGTGAACAAATCTTCCTGGCAGAGAGGGTTTGCCTATGGAAGCGTTATCAAGGTGGAGAGCATTGACCTTTCCCTTAAAGCCAGCAGGGCAGGCGAAAACTTGGTGTTTGGCATCAGGCCTGGTGATCCCAACGTTACGGAGAAGCTGGATGCCGACGGACTGCCTTTTGTTGGCTCTATCCTACAGCCTGGGGACCCCTTCTACAGCTTCATGAACCTCAACACGGGGGAGACCTCCACTGTGTACTATCCGTAAGTACAGCGTGTCCCTCCTGGCTCCGCACACCCAATGTGGGAGCAATCTGAGGGCAGCAGGCCCTCTTGAGCTGCAGTGTCTTTTCCTCCAGGTGTTCCCTTTTCTCCTCACGTGATAGTGTCCATGTCATGACAGAGCGAGCATGAAGTTCATGTTGTGGGTAACTCCCATGTGTGTATCCTGGCTTTTCTCTAAGCCCCAGTGTATGCTGCAGAGCCTGACTTGTCCCGGGCGTGTATCCTGGCTTTTCTCTAAGCCCCAGGGGTGTATGCTGCAGAGCCTGACTTGTCCCGGGAGGAGAATCTGAGACCAGTAAAAAGAAAGAGCTTGCAGAGCTTTAGCTTTAGAAAGAGCTTTAGCGTCTCTCGAGGACTGTTCCTCTGCCCATCCCCTGCAGTTGTTTTCTGTAGCTTTTGGTTAATTGACTCACGTAAGGTGTTCTGTATAAAAAACCCAAAGAAACGCCAAACAAAACCAAAACAAAGTGCCTGGTCCCAGAGACTTGACAGAAAAACCTTGTAAGCAAAGGCGTTACAGGATTAGGGGTTCAAAGAGCATTTTTGTTAACATCACAGCTTCCAAACTGCTAGAAGATCAAATGTGTTAACTACACTCCTCCATCCCCCTGAAATATTTCGGGGATAAGTTTTGTAAGATTTTTGAACTTCAGTTGGGAGAGAGAAGGCTGCTGAGGCTTCCCTTAAAATCCTCTGAATTCTTTGAGGAGAGGGATGCAAAATGTATTGACAAAACCTAATATATATATATATATTTATTTATTTAAATGCATTCTGCACTCCCAGTTGTCCTTAGAGCTTCAGGCCTTACCTGTGTCTCTCTACAGCATCGACAGAATGAGGGTAACGCTGTGTAGTCGCTCCTGTTGTGAAGGCGCATTGGTTTGAGAAGTACTTGGGTAACACAGTAACTGGCCTCACTGGGAAAGCTGATGTTTATTACTCCATGGTGCCTTAGCTGCACTGAGGAGATTGCTGGGGAGTTGTAGAAGTACTCATCCTGGTCATAGGGCAGGGCTAAGAGACTGGGCACGTGGCAGTGGGGATCTGTAAGCTCGGTGCTTGTGGAGCCCTCCTTGGCTCTCCCACCCGGTGCTCCTGCTCCCCCCAGCTCTCTCAGGCCAGCCCAGCCTCAGTTCAGGTTCCTTATCCCGAGAGCCATTTTACCTCCGTGCCATTCACCTTTTGTTCATCCTTGGTCCAAATTCTTAGAAAGTTGAGATTTCCAGTTGTTGGTGTTGGCTCCTGCCCCCGGTTTTCTCCAGGGATCCAGGGCCTTGAAGAGGAAATTCTCCCTATAAGTACTGCGCACACTACTAGATCTTATGGATGGCTTAGAAGAGAAGGGAGGACAGAGGCTTTGACTGGAAAAGTTGAATAAGCTTGGAAAAGGTTTATGAAGCAGAGTTTTCTTTTTTTTTTTTTCTTAATTTTTTTTTTGTGATTGCCTATGCCTTGGTTGCTTTCGGGTTGCCTGGACCCTGGTGGCTTTGAAAGAGAAGCTGAACTTAGGTACAGCCTGCCTGCAAACACTTGGTCATTAGGACTTCGAAGGAGAAGAAGAAAAGTGAGCCTGTCTTAACGTGGGCGAGATGTATTTAGCTGTTGTCTCCCAAATAAGGGGGGAGTTTGGGCTTGACAGCTCTGTAACAACAGACTTAAGCCGCAGCAGACACCGGCACGTGGAACATCAAGCTGGGGGTTCATCTGGAGAAGCAGTTCTCCCCCCCAGGATGAGGTGCTTGTTGGCAAATCCCTCTGGGCTCGCGCTGCACCTTCCTTCCCTTTCTGCTCTGAAATTCCCCCTCTGCTTTCCGCCGAACCCCGCTGTTTATTTTGGTACCCCACCAAGATGGGGGTGAGTTTACCGGGGGGTAGGGCGAGGGGCTGCTGGGATGCACATCTGTCAGATAAAGCGCGATACGGCTGAACCAGGTTTAAATGATCTTTATTTGAAATCGGGGGCAGCACGTTACCTTGAACACCTGAAAACTGTAGCTGGTTTTCTAGCATTGGGAAGAGTAAACAAATGGCACTTGCGTGATGCCGTTGCCTTGCTTCCTTGCCCTAATCCTTAAGCAGGCTGATTTCCCTCACTACTGGGCAGTATTTTTCAGGAATGGTGTTGTTCCCCAGCTGTCCCAAGGCATTTTGTGAGACTTTCGAAGTGGTTTGGCTTCCCCCCCCCCCACTTCGTTTCCCCTTCCTGGCTGAAACTCATTAGCAGGCCTGACACCTTTGCTGTGATTGTTTTTCCACCCACCCAGGAATAAGGAAGTGGGCATTGTAGACAACGTCAGGTTATGCAGTAACGACCGGGGCACTGGGAAGTTCAAAAAGGCTTGCATCACCGTCAGGGTGCCCCGAAATCCAACGGTGGGAGACAAATTTGCCAGCCGCCACGGCCAGAAAGGCATCCTGAGCCAGCTCTGGCCAGTTGAGGATATGCCCTTCACGGAGAACGGGATGGTTCCTGACATCCTCTTCAACCCTCACGGCTTTCCCTCCCGTATGACCATCGGGATGTTAATCGAGAGCATGGCAGGGAAGTCGGCGGCGCTTCACGGCGTCTCCTACGACGCCACTCCCTTCACCTTCACGGAGAAGAACTCTGCCTTGAAGTATTTTGGCGAGACGTTGGTCAGCGCGGGTTACAACTTCTTCGGGACGGAGAAGCTGTACAGTGGCATCAGCGGGCTGGAGCTGGAGGCGGAGATCTTCGTGGGGGTGGTGTACTACCAGCGCCTGCGCCACATGGTCTCCGACAAGTTCCAGGTGAGGACGACGGGGCCCCGAGACTCCGTCACCAACCAGCCCGTCAAAGGGAGGAACGTGGAAGGTGGGATCCGCTTCGGCGAGATGGAGCGTGATGCTCTGCTGGCCCACGGCACCTCCTTCTTGCTCCAAGACCGCCTCTTCAACTGCTCCGATGGCTCCATCGCCTACGTCTGCACCAGCTGCGGCAGCATGACGTCTCCCGTGCTGGAGAAACCCCCCAACTCCTCCTCCCTGACCACCAACAGGAGGTATTCCTGCTCTGTCTGCAGCGAGGTGGACGCCATCGAGGTCGTCCCCGTGCCCCACGTCTTCCGTTACTTCGTGGCGGAGCTGGCAGCCATGAACATAAAAACCAAGCTCAACGTGGAGTAGCTCCATCCTCGGGCGCGGGGACAACGCCGCTGGGAGGGAGGAAGCACACGCCGGGCTCTGCCTTTTGCCCCCTCACCGCGGGGTTTCAAGCGTTTAGGTCAGTTCTCAGGTTCTTCAAAGGTTTAATTTGATGTTTGTAGGGAGAGGGGGGGGGGCTGTGGGGTGAGGATGGGTGTGGGAAGTTCCCGAAAGGATCACTAGCCATTTTGAGGACGTGGCATTTATGGAAATCAAGCAGATGCCCATCTCTGCCTGCACCGGGCTGGTGGAGGGGGGGGTTCTTTGTTCTCCGAGCGTTGGCTGCAGAGGTCACGAAACAGCATGGAGTTGAATGCTGGAAATGACGAAGGACGGAGTTGGGGGGGAAAAAATAGGAGAGACATTTTTGGTTTTTTGAAGAAAAACCCTCGCAAAACGCATGCCTTAATGATGGGTACGTGCTGAAGTGATTGGACGCGTTTTGGTGGGCTTTATTTTGCTCCGTGTGCCTCAAAACTCATGAAGAGGAAGAAGAAGAAGGAGGAGGAGGAGCAGGAGGCACAAGATTCTACTGCACAAAGCCACAGCCTTAGACCCCCCCGGAGACCCCAGGCCTGTCCCTGGGCGGGGGGATGTGTGTGTGTTTGGTGCTTTGGGGGTGGAGCAGCACCCCCCTGGAAATTTATTATGATTTTTTTTTGGTGTTTTATTTTTTTATCTCTGGCCGAAGCAGCAGCAAGAAGAAGCAGAAGGGCTCTCCAGGCTGGACCTCAGCCCTCCTGCAGCGCTGGAAGGCGGGGGGTGGGATGCTCACCGTGGC